CCTGCATTGACGTATAAAATCACGTGTGTACGCATTTTGGGAAAAGATTTCGTAGAACTATTTCATTTCTGCTCGATAACTTGTTTTATCATAGCAGTGGGTTTGGACTCGATTCAGAAGGCTGTAGACTATACTCCGTTTTTGTGAGAGCGGATGGTGTTTTTCAAAGTTCAAGACAACCTCTGATGTAGTTGGCGAAATAGAAACTTTGAGATCATATAATTGGGTGCACCGATTAGAGAGGCTATCGGTCGCAGCGGAATATCAGCTTTATGAATTTTGGGAATACTATATATCTTAGCAATAGCTATTTCATCCTGTTTTTAAGACTTGGCAAGAACTTCCGGGATTATTTTTTTTCCTAAAAGGCGTTGTGGTGTTTTTTTTAATATATGAGTTTTGCGAATATAAGGGGTCGGCAGCTAGAGGATCGTATATTGAATTTTTTTTAAGGGAGACATCATTTTCTCTGTGTGGTCTGTTTTGTCCAAAATAGTGGTAGCATTTTGTTTGTTGCAGGCAGAATGTAGATGTTTTCAGATTGGAAAAGTTTAGATATCCGGGCTAATTAATTGAAGACAAATACAGGCTCTCCGGAAGAGGTTTATTTAAGCGCTGACGTTTCAAAGAGCTGAGTCGTCTCTTCATTGTCAAAGTGTAAAATACACTTAATCGATCAGAAATTTAATTTTAAGTGCCAGTCGTGTTGGCCGGCCTCATGCTGATCGATTTTTCCCTCCACTCGCTGCCTCGGCCTCTCGGGAAATGGTTTTGAGGGCGTTTTGCCTGTGCGCTTTTTGAGTCACCACTCACCACTGGTTTGTTTTGGGACTTCAAGTGCTTCCGTTGAGAACTTGATTCGGTTCTTCAAAACCGGTACAGTGCTGTTGCGAATGGTGAATTTTCTTCTTCGGGAAGACATGTTGATGATATGATTGATTCGAAGCTGGCAAGGAAGTCTAATTTATTGGAGTCAGACGGATTTAACTTCATTACTTTGCACGGCACGTTTTCCTTTGGTGCCGTTCGGACCCCAGAAGATGGGCTTGCGACTTTCTATGGACACGTAGAATATGTACAATCTTTATAAGAAATAATTTTCCACTTTTTGTCAAAAGTTTTCAATCTATTTTAGTCACTTTATTTCTGCGACATGCATGATGGTTTCCTTTAGAATCCCAGTGGTTAGACGCGTTGACTTCTAAATAACAGGTCGCGAGTTCGAGCCTCGGGTTTTTCACACTTTGGAGTTGGGTATGGTTAATTGACGACGGCGGATTAACCAGAAATGACCATTCCAGTCTACCTTGTCTTTGTCGATAATGTCATTCTGTCTATAAGTTGATATGTTGTTTGCATGAATGCATACATGCGGCTAATGCGAGCATTGCATTGATCATGGAAATGACATACAAACTGTACGTAAAAAGTGCAGCAGACGGCGCATAGAATGCGTTATTGCATTGACAAAGGTAAACTGCAAGGGGCCGGAAAAACGCACTGTAGTTTCTCTTAAATGGAGACGCCACCCGCTATGACGGTTTTCGGCCCGCCTTGCGGACAGGGCGATTGCAAGGCGAATTCAAAACAGGATATAAGCAATGGATACTAAAGAACATCAATTAGAAAGACGTCGTCCGGGACAGATCGGGCTGGAGAAGGACAGTGATAATTGGCACAGTGATATACTGAGCCAAACGAATAACTGTCGCAAACGCCAGATACAAATCTCAAAAATTCCAACTGCCCCCAACTTTTAACCGTCCCCAACGTGCTTCGATGGGACCACGACGGGTCTTTAATAAAAACTATCTAAAAATTATCTATCTATTGTCAGCGGACGTACAGGTGCCAATCGGTTTTATTGGACATCTTCATACCAACGGCAGCACCCGGACGACATCAAATGATATCTCCTCGATCTCATTTGTCTCTTCCTCCGCGTCAGCAATCGACCCCAACAACGCTCGTGATCCTTCATCGCCTTCCTCCACCACGTCAACATATACTGCGGAGGCTCCCGGCCCCGCGCTACTGTACGCAATCGTGACGCCTTGTCAGACGTCGTCCCACCGCCCCCAACATCATGTATTTGGACTCGATTCAAACCTGTCCATAATGCGATCGCTCATTCATGTCACACATCGGGGCAAAGAGCCCGTAACTCAGTGTTTAGGGGCCTTGGATTGCTAACTAACACGTCGCGAGTTCGAGTCCCAGGTACTCAACGCTTCGGGGTTGGGTATGACTGTCTGACGACGGCTAATGAGCCAGGTTTTATGTCAGCCAACATCCAGACCTCTGGGCAGTCTGGAACGTCAGAGACGGATTGCAGCTTAGTTGTCGAGGAGGTAGAAAGAATATTTCAACTTCACTCAACCCGCTTATGCAGGATGGATGATTCGGACCATTGGCAGCTTCCGTCCATTTTGTACTGCACTTGCTTAAGGAGGGAGAATTAGTGTGAGAAAACCGCAGCTGGCAAGTGAAAGAAAAAATTAAGCAAGACAACTGCACAGTTTTGTCCACGACAAACAAAAATATGCCGGGTCTTGCCTAATTTCCGGGAAAACTAATGCGCGAAATTGTAGTAAATTCTTCGGAGCAGACTTTTTCAAGCGCAATCTGACAGTCGATATGAATATTTGACCTGAAATGCATCAGCTACCAAGGAATAACCTCGTAGTACCCACAGACCACCAACAGGCAGCCAGTAGCACACATAATATAGTAGTACCATAATGAGAGCGTAGGTACTGATTGCCTGTTGGCGCTTGTGAATACTACGCGGTGATTTCGGAGAAGCTGCTGGATTTAAGCTCGGATACTAAAATAAACTTTCGGACGAAGCCTGAAAAGGTCTTGTCTGAAGAATTAACTCCAACATCGAGCACTGATTTTCTCGGAACTTAACAGGGCAAGAGAAAATGGGAGTTCTTATACCTCAAAACAACAGGGAACGCTGAGGAACCCATTAATGAGCCGAACTCCTCACAGCTGCATCAGGCATCAGCAAATGATCGGCAAAACACACATGTCCGGGTATTTAGTTAGTACCTGTGCTGCCACTATAGTAACTAATTTCATAATAATTTTTCTCTTATCTTTGGCGATTTCGCCAATTAACGACAGTTTTCAGCAATGTGCTGATACCTGCAACCGGAGGGTGCCATCGGTTACCGGAAGTAAACGTTGAAACCGGCTTGTTGCATGACAAGAAGGCACTCAGGTCCCGAGGCTGAAGTGAAAAGGTATTCATACGTGAAAGGACTTGGAAAATGGGGATCAAACATAAAAAGCCAAACTTAAAAAGTGTAAATATGTTTTTTTCATCCATTATTCATAGTGTGGTGTTTGCGAAGAGTTCATGTGTTCATGTGAAGAGTTCCGGGGTGATTATCCTACATACTCGCCTAACCCAGTGTATAGGGCTAGTGGCCTCCCATTTGTGTGATTTTTTTGCGCTTATCCTTCTTCGACAAGGCCAAAATGGTTACTGATATACTAATCCGACTTCCGAGGGCTTTTCTATAAAGTAATCCGAATTGCTGGCTAGCTTAGCGATTGGTTTGGCCGGACGAAAAATTATTGCAAACAAGGAGTTTTCCTACCTGGTCTACGAGAAGCTTCGTCTAAGAATTCCACCAAATTTGTCATTAAAAATGGACGGAAACGAGGCTGTAAAACGATTCAGGCTACTGGTTACTACATTCTCTATCACCAAGCAACGTTAAAACACTACTTAGACACTAGGGATTTGTCCTTACAAACATCTCGATAAACGAGAATTATGCATTTCATGCGAAGAAACTAAAAGTTAAAACGAAGCGCACATTTTGACTCCAAATATCACGTCGGAGGTCAGAATCAACATGAGACAACGGCTGTTAGCAGCATTCTCATGAAGCTCTCACAGATTTAATTGTTCGAAGCCGAATAACAAAGGTTTGAGGAGGCATCCCATAACATAAAATGCTTAATTACGAGTTAAAACACGGGAAAGAGATTTGGATTTACGATAGAACGCGATGCGAAATGACAATAAAAATCATTAGTGAAAGACATAAACTGATCAAGGACGACGAACGAGCAGGACGATAGAAACGGGGACAATTCAACAGACTTCCGAATACTGTACAATACCTGAATGCGATCACAAAGGAAGTATACAGATAGAGGATCATTTTTTTCAATTACAGAATATTCCGCGAATATCTACCGTGTGCTCAATCTCAGGCATGTGAAGTTCTGGTTCGTAGGAGTTTCCAGTTGTTGGTCCACGTAACGGTCGAAGCAAGTCGCCGACTTGTTTGCAGTTGTTGACAACGCCTATCGTTCATTCACTGGCACCAAAATCTTACAAGTGGCTCTTTGGAGCTAAGTTCTGCCTTGCGGCTACATCCCAGTAACCATGTCGATCGGCAGGATAAACCAGGTGAGGGTGTCCAGTTCCGTGTGTGTCCCAATACACGATAAATCTGCTCTCCTTCCCTTTCCCATCCTCCCGCTCTAGTCCCCACTCTGTTCTCTTCGCCCAAGGTCGAGATGTCGTACGGGAAGATCGACATGCGATCACGTAGGCGGCTTAGGCCAGTCAGGTTCCTCTCTCACTGAACCAGTCCGTGACCCCCCGTGGAGATCGGCAGCCGTCCGGGAGAACTAAGCAGCCCTATGTAGGGATAACACTGCGTGTGCACTCGTGGGGGTGATAGCTATAAAAAGTGCTCTAAACAAATGCTGCTTTCACGGCATATGCTCTCAGACTGTACTACATGCGGCCCGAACAAAAACAACTGGGAGGAGTGGATGACGGCTACATCTTCAGGAGCGAGCACTCAAAGGCAGAGCAACGAAATGCGGGCGTCGTCTTTGGTATCCAAAACGAAATCGTGAGGCGAATGCCCTGTCTGCCGCAGACAATTAACGACCGACTCCCGAGTCTGCCCATGCCTCTTCGGGGACCCAATTAAGCTACCATAATCAGCACCTGCGCCCAGCCAATGACCGGCACTTACGAGGCGAAGATCAAGTTCTACGAAGAGTCGCACGTCCTTCTGGAATCTCTGTCGAAGGAGGTCGGGCTGATTATTCTTGGTGACTTAAATGTTCTGCTCGAGGCAGACTGAGCTCACTCACGGAATCGCCGACTGGAACGAGAATGGCCTCCTCCTGCAAACCTCTGTTGAAAACTGCCTCCTGCTGACCAACGCCTTCTCCCGCCTGTCGATGCTGAAGGCACCGCAGAGGGTGGCTCTGGCAGCCGCTGGACTGCGTTCTGCTTCGGAGGCCAAATCGGCGTGACATGCTGGTGACCAGAGCGATCTGCGTTACCGATGACTGGACCGACCACAGCCTCATCGTCTCCTAAATGAGGCTGTGTCTGCAATCCTTCAGGAGGCCACAAGGTAGGCGACCACCAGGTAAGTCAAATACCGCTTTGTTGCTTTGCCCATTCACCGCTTTCATCTCAACAGTCTACTGACCTATCGGCTGGAAGACTGATGACAGCCCTCGCTTCCTTATTCCCCGTCACGTTGTCGTGATGCCGTCCTGTCCGCTTCAGGCTCGCTGCCAATTCGTTACCGGAACAGCGCGAAGGTTGTCACTAGCCTCGCGAGAGGTCGAAGCAAATCAGCACTGCCTCTTCTTTGATTGGTCGGCGGGCGCACACACGCTGGGGACACAAAGGATACAACTAGCCTGTAGAGACAGCTTGTGGCAACTGCTTACTGAGTCTCTTATACGCTCTTAAAGGTCAATAAAGTTTCACAATCCAATCCGTCTTCCCTGATTTCTGATCTGGGGTTCTTTGTGTTGTCGAGCATACCACCTCCCAATAGATCTGTCTGCCCCAGATGAAAACGCCTCCGTGGGGATTCGATGGTGCCAACTTCAGGAAGCTGTCCATTACACTGCCCTGGGTCTCCTCGGCCTCGCACGTCGTCGGCACCAAGACTGGTTTGACGACAACGGCGCAGTGATCAACAATCTGCTCACCAAAAATCTAAGGCTGCACAGAGCCTACCTCTACCTTCCAACTGATGCAAACGAAGCTGTTTCCTACCAATTTCGCCGTTTTGCTCAACAACAATTAGGAGAGATACAGGACGCCTGGATGACTCGCAAGGCTGAGGAAATCCAACGATTTACCGACCGAAACGGATCCAAGATCTTTTTTACTGTGATCAAGGCGATCTACGGATTCCTACCAAGAGAACAGCGCCACTTATCAGCTCCGATGGATCAATGCTTTTGACGGGAAGGTCGCAAGTTCTGAATCTTTGGGCCGGGCACTTGAAAAGCGGTCTCATCCATCCCTCCGCAATCTCCGACACCGCCATCAACAGGGTGACTCAAGTCGAGCTGGATCTCCCTCTCTCTCCCAGAAATCATCCACAGCGTGCAAACAATCTCCAGCTGGAAGGCATCGGTCGTCAATGCAATCTCGGCTGCCAGCTGCAGGAGAAATGCTAGGAGATGCTAACCGACCTCCACGCTATCTTCGTGGAGTTCACGAAGGCCTTCGACATGGTGAATCGTAAGGGACTGTGGAAAATCCTGCATAAACTATTCATGCACATGATATGTCAGCACCACGACGGGATGATGTCATGCGTTACGTACAATGGAACAATCTTCGAGGCATTCGCAGTGACCAGTGGAGTGAAATAGTGCTGTGTTATCGCGTCTACCCGCTTCAGCTTTATGTTCTCTGCCATGCTGATGGACGCCTACCGTGATGCGCACCCGGGACGTACATCGTCTACAGAACTGATTGGCATCTTCTCAACAGCAGGTGTATGTAGGCCCCACGCGACTACCTATGACTACAGTCCACGACCTGATCTTCGCTAACAATCGCGCTCTCGACAATAAGACATGAAATGGCATGGAATCACCACGGTCTGCAAGTGAACACCGGGCCGAAGATGTGCAAGACTGTCATCTTTAAGACACTTCCGTAGGGAGCGAAGATCTGGACCGTGTACTATAGTCATGCCAAGAAGCTCAACCACTTCCACGCCAGCTGCCTTTACCGAATACTAAAGTTCAGATGGCATGACAGGGTCCCTGACACGGAAGTCCTAAAATGGGTCCGAAGTCTCTGCATCCATGCTATTCTAAGACAACTACAAATACATGAGAGCGGCCATCACTTCAGGATGGGAAATACCTGTCTACCAAAACAAATCTTCCATGGCGATATCGCCACGGGTACTCGTCGACAGGGAGAGGGAAAAAATCGCGCCATAAGCACATTTTGATGATCTCTCTGAAACGACTACAAGTGAGACCAAAAACCTGGGAGGACATCGCCCAGAACATGGCGAAGAGAAAAAAAACCGGCACAGCCACCTGCGAAGGAAATCGGACCGCCCCCCTGAAAACCAAAAGGGGAGTTTTCAAGTCACTAGTGCCTTGACTCTTCAATGCCAACAGTCAGCCGCTTCCAACGTGTCCGTGCTGCTAAAAAACACTCTGCGTGCGAATCGGCCTCGTTATACACCTTCGGACGCAAGCCACCAACAATTCGACAACGCAAAATTCTTTTTTCACTCCCACCCCTGTCGCTGTCCGTCATTCACCGACATCATCCGCTCTTTCCCAACCCCTGCATCGAACACAGCGAAACACTCAGCCACCACCACGATATCTCGCACTCCCCACACCAAGCGGATGATTTTCGACTTCCCATCGCCTGCTTCCATCACCTTCAGCACCCCCACCTCCAGCGATGCGGACTCGATGCAAACCTGTCATCAATGTGGTCGCACGTTCACCTCATATATCGGCCTGGCCAATCACTTGCGAGTCCATAGGACAGAGACGGTCGAACCAGTGCCTAGAGCACCCACATACACTCGAGGCACCCGCCCCAACTGCTTTCACCGCCCTCGCGCACCCGTGCGCTTATCAAGCCACAGTGCAGTCATGGAAACCTGTGGTAGACGGTTGGTGACTGTGCCATACCATCATAACTTGCATCACACATCAGCATCACCACCCAACGCAAGCACTCAATTGACACCTTTCACGCAAGTGGGAAGTGTGATCTCCGGCTCAGTCTCCATGCGTCTCCTCTGCTGCATGTGTGATCCGAGTCTGAGACTAGCACGATGCTCCAAGTGCCGTGGCCTGGAAGACTGCTGATTGACGCCTCCACTCAATCCACGCAGTCAAGCCAGTTGTGTGTGTGATGGTGTGGGGTAGCGAACTGCTGGGTTGAGCGTCAGGCTGTCAACGCCCTTTCTTCATGTGACCTCTGACGATTTTACGCACGTAAAGATTACAGTGAGTGGCCGATAGCATGAAATATTGGCTGAAATTCTGAAATGCGTTCTCGAACGGTAAGGATTGCTTGGGCGTGGTGGTAATACTTATCATCTTGCGACATAATCTTATAACATTTCGGACTTGGCAGGATGTTGGCTTTTGAACAGACTGCATTTCAATCTCCGGTGGACACCGTACTCGGTTAAAAATGACTACTTATGTAGCATGCATTTTCCCATTGATTTTCAATGGTCTTGCAAATCTAAATATATTTTATAGAAACCATAAACAAAATTATGCTTTCTTTCAGTGAATTAATAGAGAATCACGT